CCCCCTCCTCCCTCAGCTGGGGTGATTTTACATGTCTCCCCCTCCTCCCTCCCCTCCTCCCCCCTCATCTGGGGTTGATTTTACATGTCTCCCCTCCTCCCTCCCCCTCCTCCCTCCCCTCCTCCCTCAGCTGGGGTGATTTTACATGTCTCCCCTCCTCCCTCCCCTCCTCCTCCCCTCCTCCCTCAGCTGGGTGATTTTACATGTCTCCCCCTCCTCCCTCCCCCTCCTCCCTCCCCCCTCCTCCCTCAGCTGGGGTGATTTTACATGTCTCCCCCCTCCTCCCTCCCTCCCCCCCCTCCCCCCTCCTCCCTCAGCTGGGGTGATTTTACATGTCTCCCCCTCTCCTCCCTCCTCCTCCCTCCCCCTCCTCCCTCAGCTGGGTGATTTTAACTTCCCCCCCCTCCCCCTCCTCCCTCCCCCTCCTCCCTCAGCTGGGGTGATTTTACATGTCTCCCCCTCCCCCCTCCTCCTCCCTCCTCCTCCCTCCTCCCTCCCCTCCTCCCTCACTGGGGTGATTTTTTCATGTCTCCCTCCTCCCTCCCCTCCTCCCTCCCCTCCTCCCTCAGCTGGGGTGATTTTACATGTCCCCCCTCCTCCCCCCTCCTCCTCTCCCTCCCCCTCCTCCCTCAGCTTGGGTGATTTTACATGTCTCCCCCTCCTTCCTCCCCCTCCTCCCTCCCCCCTCCCTCAGCTGGGGTGATTTACATGTCTCTCCCCTCCTCCCCTCCCCCCCTCGCCTCCTCCCTCCCCCTCCTCCCTCAGCTGGGTGATTTTACTGTCTCCCTCCTCCCTCCCCTCCTCCCTCCCCTCCTCCCTCAGCTGGGGTGATTTTACATGTCTCCCCCTCCTCCCTCCCCTCTCCCTCCCCCTCCTCCCTCAGCTGGGTGATTTTACATGTCTCCCCCTCCTCCCTCCCCCTCCTCCCTCCCCTCCTCCCTCAGCTGGGGTGATTTTACATGTCTCCCCCTCCTCCCTCCCCTCCTCCCTCCCCTCCTCCCTCAGCTGGGGTGATTTTACATGTCTCCCCCTCCTCCCTCCTCCTCTCCTCCCTCCCTCCTCCCTCAGCTGGGTGATTTTACATGTCTCCCCTCCCCCTCCTCCTCCCTCCCGTACTCTCCCCTCCTCCTCCCCTCCCCCTCATCTGGGGTGATTTTACATGTTCCTCCTCCTTTACGTATCATGTCCCCTCCTCCCTCCCTCCTCCCTCCATCTCAGCGGTGATTTTACATGTTTCAGACCTCTCATTTAACTATTCATTTCAGCTATGTGTCAGGCTATTGAAATGTCCTTCTAGTACCCTTGACACCAGCCTATTGAAATGTCCTTCTAGTACCCTTGACACCAGCCTATTGAAATGTCCTTCTAGTACCCTTGACACCAGCCTATTGAAATGTCCTTCTAGTACCCTTGACACCAGCCTATTGAAATGTCCTTCTAGTACACTTGACACCAGCCTATTGAAATGTCCTTCTAGTACCCTTGACACCAGCCTATTGAAATGTCCTTCTAGTACCCTTGACACCAGCCTATTGAAATGTCCTTCTAGTACCCTTGACACCAGCCTATTGAAATGTCCTTCTAGTACCCTTGACACCAGCCTATTGAAATGTCCTTCTAGTACCCTTGACACCAGCCTATTCAATGGAATATCTGAGTCAATATAATAACTATATGACACTATGCAATATACTGGTCACTGATAGTCCAGGTCCATGGGCTTCTCTCCTTAGGACTATATGGGCTGGTTTCCCGGACACACTAAATCTGTCTGGGAAGCCGGCCCTGAGAGTCTAATTGTTTAAATATTTTTAATCCCTAAACGAGTCTGTCTGGATGTTGCTTGTGGCTTCTAGTAATATGTATCTCTCTAATGAAAGGCCTGATAGCTGGGTGGCTAGATAGCCTGGTGGTTGGGTTGTGTGGTGGCTAGGGAGCAGATTGGTTAGATAGCCTGGTAGCTTGGTGGTTGAGTTGTGTGGTAGCTAGGGAGCAGATAGCCTGGTAGCTTGGTGGTTGGGTTGTGTGGTAGCTAGGTAGCAGATTGGTTAGATAGCCTGGTAGCTTGGTGGTTGGGTTGTGTGGTAGCTAGGTAGCATATAGCCTGGTAGCTTGGTGGTTGGGTTGTGTGGTGGCTAGGGAGCAGATAGCCTGGTAGCTTGGTGGTTGGGTTGTGTGGTGGCTAGGGAGCAGATAGCCTGGTAGCTTGGTGGTTGGGTTGTGTGGTGGCTAGGTAGCAGATAGCCTGGTAGCTTGGTGTTGGGTTGTGTGGTGGCTAGGGAGCAGATAGCCTGGTAGCTTGGTGGTTGGGTTGTGTGGTAGCTAGGTAGCAGATAGCCTGGTAGCTTGGTGGTTGGGTTGTGTGGTGGATAGGTAGCAGATAGCCTGGTAGCTTGGTGGTTGGGTTGTGTGGTGGCTAGGGAGCAGATAGCCTGGTAGCTTGGTGGTTGGGTTGTGTGGTGGCTAGGTAGCAGATAGCCTGGTAGCTTGGTGGTTGGGTTGTGTGGTAGCTAGGGAGCAGATAGCCTGGTAGCTTGGTGGTTGGGTTGTGTGGTAGCTAGGGAGCAGATAGCCTGGTAGCTTGGTGGTTGGGTTGTGTGGTAGCTAGGTAGCATATAGCCTGGTAGCTTGGTGGTTGGGTTGTGTGGTAGCTAGGTAGCAGATAGCCTGGTAGCTTGGTGGTTGGGTTGTGTGGTATCTAGGGAGCAGATAGCCTGGTAGCTTGGTGGTTGGGTTGTGTGGTGTCTAGGTAGCAGATAGCCTGGTAGCTTGGTGGTTGGGTTGTGTGGTGGCTAGGGAGCAGATAGCCTGGTAGCTTGGTGGTTGGGTTGTGTGGTGGCTAGGGAGCAGATAGCCTGGTAGCTTGGTGGTTGGGTTGTGTGGTGGCTAGGGAGCAGATAGCCTGGTAGCTTGGTGGTTGGGTTGTGTGGTGGCTAGGTAGCAGATAGCCTGGTAGTAGACAGACAGCAGACAGATAGACAGACAGACAGTCAGACAGACAGACAGAGACCGACAGTCAGACAGACAGACAGACAGTAAAAGTATCCGTTGAGGTAAATCATGCTGTGTTTATTGTATATAATACCAATGCATGATATTAGATGAGCAAATTGGTCCCATACCATTCACCAGCAAAATGAGCATGCACAGGAATATGTATTGTAGAGGGTATAAACGTTTAAATCAAACAGCCAAGACACAGAATATTATACATTCAGTGTGAAAGTTAGACATTGCATAACATGTAGTACATAAAATAATAAATATAGTGTTAAAGCACTTTATCCTCTGTACTGTATATGATGGGAATGAGGATATGAGATATGTTGAGGGTCTTGAATTTCTTTACATGATACTGCTGATTTTAGATATGAGGTGGGGGGGGAGGGTTCTGTACACTGAGGACCAAATAACACATCTCAAAATGGTGCATTCTAAAAAGAAAGTAAAATCTATAAATATTAAAATTACATTCTTTCATTATCTGTAAAAACAGATTTCAACCTGATCTGGCTTTCCAATGAAAAGGGATAGAATCATAGAATAACAATGACATCATATTTCTATTGATGGGCTAAAGCAGCTTTTCATTCATTTATACATCTCTATTAAGAATATAAAAAAGATAATATTCGGAAACTTTAACAAGTAGAATTGTAGATACTTTAAACAAATACATTTTAAAATGTCCGAAAAGTGGAGAAGAACAAATCAGGATAAAACCGTTTTTTGATTAAAAAGTATCTTACATTAAACAAAGATAAGTGAACAATATTATAAAAAGTGTCCAACTAAAGTCAGTGTTGAGGCCGTCTTTATGTAGAGTAGGAGGAAACCGTGCTGGTGATTGAGCATTTAGCCCGTTGGTTTTACAATATCCATGTCTGACTGCTAATATAAACTGAACAACAATAGAAACGCAACATGGAAAGGGTTGGTCCCAAGTTTCATGAGCTGAAATAAAAAATCCCAGAAATGTTCCATACGCACAAAAAGCTTTTTATCTCAAATGCTGTGCACAAATATGTTTACATCCCTGTTAGTGAGCATTTCTCCTTTGCCAAGATAATCCATCCACCTGACAGGTGTAGCATATCAAGAAGCTGATTAAACAGCATGATCATTACACAGGTGCACCTTGTGCTGGGGACAATAAAAGGCCACTCTAAAATGTGCAGTTTTGTCACACAACACAATGCTACAGATTTCTCAAGTTTTGAGGGAGCATGCAACTGGCATGCTGACTGCAGGAATGTCCACCAGAGCTGTTTCCGGAGAATGTAATGTTCATTTCTCTGCCATAAACCGCCTCCAATGTCGTTTTAGAGAATTTGGTAGTACGTCCAACTGGCCTCACAACCGCAGACCACTTGTAACCACGCCAGCCCAGGACCTCCACATCCGGCTTCTTCACCTGCGGGATCGTCTGATGGGGGTGGGGGGGTTGTGCTGAGGAGTATTTCTGTCTGTAATAAAGCCCTTTTATGGGGGAAAACGTATTCGGATTGGCTGGACCTAGTTCCCCAGTGGGTGGGCCTATGCCCTCCCAGGCCCACCCATGGCTGCACCCCCATAGATTAGGGCCTAATGAATGTATTTATATTGACTGATGTTTATTATATGAACTGTAACTCAGAAACATCTTTGAAATTGTTCCATGTTGCGTTTACATTTTTGTTCAGTATAGATGCCATTTAGCAGATACTTTTATCCAAAAGCGACTTAGTCATGCGTGCATCCATTTATGGGTTAGGGTCCCAGGAATTTAACCCACTATCCTGGCACTGCAAGTGCCATGTTCTACCAACTGACTACAGAGGACCAATAACTCAGGAGCAGTTTTCTAACCAATTTCGGACATAGAGGAATATGATCCAGATATCCCCAGCATATCCTCCACTATATGCACAGTTGCACACAGGGCATAACAGTCTGAGGCGTCAACAGTGTGCAATGGCCACGTCTTCCATCGGGGATCATAGATCACTCCTCCATCACCTCCTCTCAATGGTTCTCTTCCTCCTCAGAGGACTCTGGGCGCTCACCGTCTTCAGCTCACTGTACTGCACCTGTACACAGAGGAATATGGCCAGGTACCGTTCATAACAGCAGAGGATTAGGGTTAGGGTCAGGGTCAGAGTTCATACTACCAGAGGAATATGGCCAGGTACCGTTCATAACAGCAGAGGATTAGGGTTAGGGTCAGGGTCAGAGTTCATACTACCAGAGGAATATGGCCAGGTACCGTTCATAACAGCAGAGGATTAGGGTTAGGGTCAGGGTCAGAGTTCATACTACCAGAGGAATATGGCCAGGTACCGTTCATAACAGCAGAGGATTAGGGTTAGAGTCAGGGTCAGAGTTCATACTACCAGAGGAATATGGCCAGGTACCGTTCATAACAGCAGAGGATTAGGGTTAGGGTCAGGGTCAGAGTTCATACTACCAGAGGAATATGGCCAGGTACCGTTCATAACAGCAGAGGATTAGGGTTAGGGTCAGGGTCAGAGTTCATACTACCAGAGGAATATGGCCAGGTACCGTTCATAACAGCAGAGGATTAGGGTTAGAGTCAGGGTCAGAGTTCATACTACCAGAGGAATATGGCCAGGTACCGTTCATAACAGCAGAGGATTAGGGTTAGAGTGTTAGGGTTGGGTTAGGTCAGGGTCAGAGTTCATACTACCAGAGGAATATGGCCAGGTACCGTTCATAACAGCAGAGGATTAGGGTTAGGGTCAGGGTCAGAGTTCATACTACCAGAGGAATATGGCCAGGTACCGTTCATAACAGCAGAGGATTAGGGTTAGAGTCAGGGTCAGAGTTCATACTACCAGAGGAATATGGCCAGGTACCGTTCATAACAGCAGAGGATTAGGGTTAGAGTCAGGGTCAGAGTTCATACTACCAGAGGAATATGGCCAGGTACCGTTCATAACAGCAGAGGATTAGGGTTAGGGTCAGGGTCAGAGTTCATACTACCAGAGGAATATGGCCAGGTACCGTTCATAACAGCAGAGGATTAGGGTTAGGGTCAGGGTCAGAGTTCATACTACCAGAGGAATATGGCCAGGTACCGTTCATAACAGCAGAGGATTAGGGTTAGAGTGTTAGGGTTGGGTTAGGTCAGGGTCAGAGTTCATACTACCAGAGGAATATGGCCAGGTACCGCTCATAACAGCAGAGGATTAGGGTTAGGGTCAGGGTCAGAGTTCATACTACCAGAGGAATATGGCCAGGTACCGTTCATAACAGCAGAGGATTAGGGTTAGAGTGTTAGGGTTGGGTTAGGTCAGGGTCAGAGTTCATACTACCAGTCGAGGTCACACAACAGTCACAGTAGCTCTCAACTAGGGTTGCAAAATTCTGGTAACTTCCCCGATTGGAGGATTCACATATTTCCTGGTTATTCCCTCGTGAATCTTCCAACTGAGATTTCCGGAAAAAAACTAGGACTTTTGGGAAAGTTAACAGAATTTTGCAACCCTACTCGCAACTCTGTGGTGCCAATGGTCCCTGAAGTGATCAACTCTGTGGTGCCAATAGTCCCTGAAGTGATCAACTCTGTGGTGCCAATAGTCCCTGAAGTGATCAACTCTGTGGTGCCAATGGTCCCTGAAGTGATCAACTCTGTGGTGCCTTCGCCCGGCAACAGAAAGGCTCCTGAAGCCTAACACTTTGTATACTCCACAAGGGATGTTAGGGAGGAAACATCATAACAGAAATTAGACCGGGCTATAATTAAGTAGACGGAGCAAATGACACAGGCAACAACCAGGTAACACAGAAACAACCTGTGGGATATTTCAGTAGAAAGCAGCGCTGAAAGACTAGAGGTTTACTGGCTTCCTGAATCTGATCTAGAGGCTATAACCTGAAAGGGAAATTCCACCACTTTTTAACCTATTCATTATCTCCAGCACCATACCAGTGTCTACATGTGAATAACAGAATAACATTTCTATGTGCTGTAGTTACAAACATAAGAAGAAAAGGTCCTTTAAAAGTGCAATGGATGACATCATCACATTGCATCAAAAGTAAAAACCTGCATCAGTTTCTACATTTCCATTTGATGACTTTCTAGGCAGGGGAAGAGCATTATCAGGTTCCCTGTCAATCTCAGAGTCTTTGGAAATCACTGAATTGCACTTTTTTATCTGTTGAAAAGTGGTGGAATAGCCCTTTTACCTGCTATAGGCACTTACCTTGTGAACATCTGAAGGAACTCTCCTCAGGAAATCAAACACCTCATTGTTGTCGATGGCGTACGGGGCCCGTAATTTCTTGGTGAATTTATTAATTCCTGGTAAAACAGACATTCAGGAGAAGCTAAATAAAACAGCCTGTATAAACGTTTCATTCCCAGTAATCTGGGTGGATCTGAATCAGCTATAATCCAATAAAAAGGAAAAGGAATGATAGTGTATTGTTTTGGTCTATTTGTTATGCTGACCTCATAAAATCAATTGACATGGAAATGGACAATAGTTATATATATATATCTTAACAAAAGAAAACATGCACTTACCCCATATTAGAAGGATATATCGTACAGGGATGAAGTATGTTATAACTGTTACTGTAACCAGGATCAGGAAGGCCAGGTTGGAGAGGAACGGGACTGACCAGTTAAAGGTGCTGAGGAAGACAACACAATACATATTCATATTGAGTAGAAACACAATACATATTCATATTGAGTAGAAACACAATACATATTCATATTGAGTTGAAACACAATACATATTCATATTGAGTAGAAACACATTACATATTAATATTGTAGAAACACAATACATATTCATATTGAGTAGAAACACAATCCATATTCATATTGAGTAGAAACACAATCCATATTCATATTGAGTAGAAACACAATCCATATTCATATTGAGTAGAAACACAATACATATTCATATTGGAGAAACACAATACATATTCATATTGAGTAGAAACACAATACATATTCATATTGTAGAAACACAATACATATTCATATTGAGTAGAAACACAATACATATTCATATTGAGTAGAAACACAATACATATTCATATTGTAGAAACACAATACATATTCATATTGAGTAGAAACACAATACATATTCATATTGAGTAGAAACACAATCCATATTCATATTGAGTAGAAACACAATACATATTAATATTGTAGAACACAACATATTCATATTGAGTAGAAACAACATCCATATTCATATTGTAGAAACACAATACATATTCATATTGTAGAAACACAATACATATTCATATTGAGTAGAAACACAATACATATTCATATTGTAGAAACCATAATACATATTCAAATTGAGTATAAAACACAATTACATATTCCATATTTGAGTAGAAACACCAATACATCTGCATATTGAGTAGAAACACAATACATCTTCATATTTAAACCAATACATATTCATATTGAGTAGAAACACAATACCATATTCATTACTTGAGTAGAAAACACAATATATATTCATATGGTAGAAACACAATCCCAATATTCAATATTGGAGAAAACACAATACATATTCATATTGAGTAGAAACACCAATGACATCTTCATATTCGAGTAAAAACCACCCAATCCCATATTCCATATTGGGAGAAACAACAATCCATATTCATCTTGAGTAGAACAACAACTCCATCTTCATATTGAGGTAAAACACAAATACATATTCATATGCGTAGAAACACAATCCATATTCATATTGAGGTTAAAAACCACACTCCTATATTCATATTGGAGAAACACAATACATATTCATATTGAGTAGAAACACAATACATATTCATATTGAGTAGAAACACAATACATATTCATATTGAGTAGAAACACAATACATATTCATATTGGAGAAACACAATACATATTCATATTGAGTAGAAACACAATGCATCTTCATATTGAGTAAAAACACAATCCATATTCATATTGGAGAAACACAATCCATATTCATATTGAGTAGAAACACAATGCATCTTCATATTGAGTAAAAACACAATCCATATTCATATTGAGTAGAAACACAATACATATTCATATTGAGTAGAAACACAATACATATTCATATTGTAGAAACACAATACATATTCATATTGAGTAGAAACACAATACATATTCATATTGAGTAGAAACACAATCCATATTCATATTGAGTAGAAACACAATACATATTCATATTGTAGAAACACAATACATATTCATATTGGTAGAAACACAATCATATTCATATTGAGTAGAAACACAATACATATTCATATTGAGTAAAACACAATCATTTCATATTGAGTAGAAACACAATACATATTCATATTGAGTAGAAACACAATACATATTCATATTGAGTAGAAACACAATACATATTCATATTGAGTAGAAACACAATGCATCTTCATATTGAGTAGAAACACAATACATATTCATATTGAGTAGAAACACAATACATATTCATATTGAGTAGAAACACAATCCATATTCATATTGAGTAGAAACACAATGCATATTCATATTGAGTAAAAACACAATACATATTCATATTGAGTAGAAACACAATCATATTCATATTGAGTAGAAACACAATCAATTATTGAGTAAAACACAATACATATTCATATTGAGTAGAAACACAATACATATTCATATTGAGTAAAGAAACACAATACATATTCATATTGAGTAGAAACACAATCCATATTCATATTGAGTAGAAACACAATCCATATTCATATTGAGTAGAAACACAATGCATCTTCATATTGAGTAAAAACACAATCCATATTCATATTGAGTAGAAACACAATCCATATTCATATTGAGTAGAAACACAATACATATTCATATTGAGTAGAAACACAATCAATTCATATGTAAACACATCATTTAGATTGAGAAACACAATACATATTCATATTGAGTAGAAACACAATACATATTCATATTGAGTAGAAACACAATCATATTCATATTGAGTAAAAACACAATCCATATTCATATTGGAGAAACACAATACATATTCATATTGAGTAGAAACACAATACATATTCATATTGAGTAGAAACACAATACATATTCATATTGAGTAGAAACACAATCCATATTCATATTGAGAGAACACAATGCATATTCATATTGAGTAGAAACACAATACATATTAATATTGTAGAAACACAATCCATATTCATATTGAGTAGAAACACAATCCATATTCATATTGAGTAGAAACACAATCCATATTGAGTAGAAACACAATCCATATTCATATTGAGTAGAAACACAATACATATTATATGAGTAAAACACAACATATCCATATTGAGTAGAAACACAATACATATTCATATTGATAGAAACATGACAATACATTATTTATTGTAGCTAGATAAAACAATCCATATTCATTTGAGTAGAAACACAATCATATTCATATTGAGTGAACAGTCAACCATATTGAGTAGAATACACATCCAGTATATATTGATTGTTAAGATACACCAGATAATCAGTTAATTTTGTTAAGGTCAGCCATAGTAGTCATAGTCAGTGATGTTGTTTTACAGGTCAGCCATAGTATATGATAGGTCCAGTGTAATGTGTTGTTTTACAGGGTCACCATAGTAGTATATAGGTCAGTGTAATGTTTTTTACAGGGTCAGCCATAGTAGTATGATAGGTCAGTGTAATGTGTTTTTTACAGGTCAGCCATAGTAGTATGATAGGTCCAGTGTAATGTGTGTGTTTACAGGGTCAGCCATAGTAGTATGATAGGTCCAGTGTAATGTGTTGTTTTACAGGGTCAGCCATAGTAGTATGATAGGTCCAGTGTAATGTGTTGTTTACAGGGTCAGCCATAGTAGTATGATAGGTCCAGTGTAATGTGTTGTTTTACAGGGTCAGCCATAGTAGTATGATAGGTCCAGTGTAATGTGTTGTTTTACAGGGTCAGCCATAGTAGTATGATAGGTCAGTGTAATGTGTTGTTTTACAGGGTCAGCCATAGTAGTATGATAGGTCCAGTGTAATGTGTTGTTTTACAGGGTCAGCCATAGTAGTATGATAGGTCCAGTGTAATGTGTTTTTTACAGGGTCAGCCATAGTAGTATGATAGGTCCAGTGTAATGTTGTTTTACAGGGTCAGCCATAGTAGTATGATAGGTCAGTGTAATGTGTTGTTTTACAGGGTCAGCCATAGTAGTATGATAGGTCCAGTGTAATGTGTTGTTTTACAGGGTCAGCCATAGTAGTATGATAGGTCCAGTGTAATGTGTTGTTTTACAGGGTCAGCCATAGTAGTATGATAGGTCCAGTGTAATGTGTTGTTTACAGGGTCAGCCATAGTAGTATGATGGTGCAGTGTAATGTGTTGTTTTACAGGGTCAGCCATAGTAGTATGATAGGTCCAGTGTAATGTGGTGTTTTACAGGGTCAGCCATAGTAGTATGATAGGTCCAGTGTAATGTGTTGTTTACAGGGTCAGCCATAGTAGTATGATAGGTCCAGTGTAATGTGTTGTTTTACAGGGTCAGCCATAGTATATGATAGGTCAGTGTAATGTGTTGTTTTACAGGGTCAGCCATAGTAGTATGATAGGTCCAGTGTAATGTGTTGTTTTACAGGGTCAGCCATAGTAGTATGATAGGTCCAGTGTAATGTGTTGTTTTACAGGGTCAGCCATAGTGTATGATAGGTCCAGTGTAATGTGTTGTTTACAGGGTCAGCCATAGTAGTATGATAGGTGCAGTGTAATGTGTTGTTTTACAGGGTCAGCCATAGTAGTATGATAGGTCCAGTGTAATGTGTGTTTTACAGGTCAGCCATAGTAGTATGATGGTCCAGTGTAATGTTTGTTTTACAGGTCAGCCATAGTAGTATGATAGGCAGTGTACTTGTTGTTACAGGGCACCTATAGTATGATCAGGTCTCATAGAGGTTACAAGGTGTCACTTATTGATAGCCAGTGTAAGTTTTTTTAAGGGTCGATAGTAGTATGATATGCTGTTAATGGTGTTTACGGGTCAGCCATACTGTATGATGGTCCAGGTAGGTGCAAGGGTCCCGTTATGGGTCAGTGTAGGTGTTACAGGGTCGTTACGCTCATGGCAACACAGTTTCACCCTTGGCGGTTTGAATATTAACCCAACCTCATTTTAATTAGTATAGCAGAGCTCCCAAGCGACTTAAAATGGGAATACATGTTTTAGGGGGTTTGGAGGGGGTGGATTCTATTTTAGGCTACCTGAGGTGGGTCAGCTTGATGGAACTCGGTTGGGATGAGCTTTTCATCAGGAGGACACAATGGGTTGACATGCTGTACATAGGCTATCTGCCTCCCTACACTTAGCCGCATCTCACCCCACCTACTACCTGTCCACGCGCCCAACTTACTCCCCCTACCCCTCCACTCCCTACCTGCCTCCCCCTCCTACCTCCGCCCAACTTCACTCCTAGACTTGCTCAATGGCATATCGACAGAATTTTCACCTTGTCGGCTTTGATATTCAAACCAGCAACCTTTACATTTTTAATTTACGTCATTTAGCAGACGCTCTTATCCAGAGCGACTTAAAAATTGGTGCATTCAACTTATGATAGCCAGTGGGACAACCACTTTTTTTTATGGGGGGGTGGGGGAGGGGGGGTAGAAGG